AAACAGAAGCAAGTTTCTTAAATTTTTATGAGTACAGTGCATTTGTCATTTTATTATTTTTTTCTTCAATTAATTTATAACATTTATAAAACTGACACGATGATTACAGACAAAATGCATGGTTTGATAAGTTTTTTTTTTTTTTTTTACACAAAACTGCAAAAAGAGAAGCTAGTCTCTTACTTGATTTTTCTGAGTACAGTATGTCATTTTACTTTTTCCAAATATTTTATAACTTTCTAACTGACATATGATGATTCACAGAGAAAATGTGTTTTCATAAATTAGCTGAAATGCATGTTTTGATAAGGTTTTTTTCCCCCACAAAACAGCACAAAGAGGAGCTAGTCTCTTCCTTAAAAATAAATAAATAGGAAATGTAAAAATAGGTTCAGCTGCAAGAGAGAGAGGGTGCAGACGCTCATGACCCAGGCGCAAGAAAGATGAATGATGGGCCCTAAATGAAATGTCACTCCCAGTAATGGGAAAGTCGAAGCCAGAAAGCAGGTCACTTAAATTGCAAAAGATACACTTAAGCGCTTCTGCCAGAGGCACAGTAGAGTTGACAAAATATTAGCTGGCTGCTAAAAATAAAAACGAGGAAGAATAAACACTTTGGCATAGCTAACCAAGCCTTGAATCATCTAGTGGGACATCAGAGTTTGTAGTGCTAACAGCTCAGCGCCTATGCAGTTACACTATATTGTACTGTTATTCAATATTTATTTACATTAAGTCATTCTTCCAGCTGAAGTGTCCCAAAAGCTTCAATCATTCTTTGATATTTCTCAGCAGGCTTCTTAACATCCCTCTTCTTCATGCTAATGTCTATTTGGGATACTTTTGGCTCGATATATGTTTATGTTTTATTGGGATTTCCACAGAACAACAATAGTAGAATTACATAAGGTCAGCTCCACTGTGTCTTCACCATATACATAGCCTATATCTGACCAAATTTCAGAGCTCCTGCCCCTTCGTTAAACTTCCTGTTAAATGTAACCAAAATGTCTAGAGAAAAAAGTGCCTGTAATACATGGGTGGGTTATTTGTTATGCCTCTGCCCTCTGTGCTCTCTGTCAGTGGCAGACATGAGGAATGACACCTTAAACTCACCAAATGTTGGAGGAATGTGAAAATAACACCTCTGGAGTATTCATTATTTTAAGCTTCAAAATGTTCCACACGCTCACATTATTCACTGACACTAGTGTGTAACAAACTGCTGTAAGTGCAACATCAGAATGTCAGCCATCGCTAATGTGCCAGAAATCAAACTTAAAAAGGATTCTTTCTTTAGAAAACACGCCTGCAGGGAGAATTATACACCACATATATTCACTATACCAGAAAATCTAACTATAATAAGCCATACCCAGGAGGATTTTTAATAGTGGTTCAACGGATCACAAATCTCACGGTTCAGATCACATTACGGTTTTTGACCGACGGATCGGATCATTTTTCGGATCAGCAAGAAAATAAAAATATTTCAATTTAACTTGCTTTCCATTTATTACTTAAAGCGAAGTACTTCTTTGATACCACAGCAAATACTACTAGATTAACTAAGAAAGTTTAAACACGATTAAAGAGACAAGAGAACAGCCAGAAAAAATAAGAACAAATACACAAATTACAAGCGTAGATAAATACAACCAAATATGTTACAAATAAAATAAGGTTGGTAGTATTCAAATACAGAAATGTAATAATTAGGGAAAATTAAATATAGATTTTTATCACAGCTGTTTTGTTGTTTGATGATCATTAATGACAGCAGCAGTATATTTTATGTGTATGTGTCTGTTCAGAGGATTCAGTTCGGTGTTCGCTCGCCGTCTTAAACGCGTGTGCATGCTTCATGTAGGGATGCAGCGATTAACCTCGCTTTAAAACGTCACGGTTAATTAATCGTAAAGGTTCCGCTAAACCGAGTGTTTCTGTTACACGGAACGGAACTTGCGCAAAACGAAAACAGTCTGTGCATCTCTCCAGTAGGCTATTTAATCTATTTTATTAATAAGAGTCACGGGGCAGCATTCTCAAGAAGTTTGTGTCCTCCTGAATGCTTGTACACGTGTGCAGCGCGATCTCCGATCTCACAAACCAAAATAATAGACATGATTTTCTCAGGCCACATGTCCTGTTGTAGTATTATTCATAAGTAAAAACCAACGAGATTTTTTTTTCACCATGTTTCCAAATTCTCTACCTCAGGTCCAAAAGAAATGTAAAGATTGTACAAACTGAAAACATTAAATACTTTTGTGATCTATTTCCATTTGTTATTTTCAAAAGAGAAATACTGTCATGGATGTTTACAGAGCAGAGGTCACCTTTTTTTAATTCCAATGGGAGAGATGGACTTTTGTTTGTCTTTTGTTTATTATTATTTTGTGCTGTATTGTTGGTTACTGTGTTATTTCTGTTTCAAAAGCCAGCAATAAATAACACTTTAATATCTAAAGAGTGTTCATGTGATTTTATACATTAGTAATGTTGGGAAATTAATAAATGCATAATAATCGTCATAATCGTACCAACAAAATATATAATCGTTGCATCCCTAGTTTCATGTGTGTTCTTGTTCATGTGTGTCTTCTGTGCACGTAGAGAACAGCGCGCGAGTAACGAATCGAGTTCCCTTTCGCCTTTTCTCTCTGGAATTGTTTAAAATTCGCTTGCTTCTGTAAATACGAACAAATGATAAACTTATACTCTATTATGGTTAAATTTTGCAATTAATCCACGGATCACATGCGTCCCGAACCGTGGGGCTTGGTCCGTATAGATCACGGATCAACTACGATCCGTTTAATCACTAATTTTTAACTCTTGCCAAATCTGAAAACAAGGTTTTTAGCTTGTCAATTGAATCAGCATATCAGGAAATGACGCAGGACAACTTAGTTCACAACTCAACCAAATAATTCCAAGTTTAGAATTGAATATTTAATTAAATTAGGGGTGTGCGATATCCCGATTTTTGATCGTGGATCGTCTCCACAATCTGCTTTTGAAGAAATATCGTGCTACAGCGCACATTGTATCAGTTGCAGATCTGGCACCTCAGTCTCAATATACTGTACATAACATACATAACATAACAAATTCACATTAAATGTTAACTCAGCGGTAGAGTTATACTCACAGGACATTGCACTTCACAATCACAAAAGTACATTATTTGAATGTGCTTTAAAGCCTTGCCGGTTAAACATTTCATTCGCATACTTTTCTGACATGCGCTTTTTCTGAGCGCACATGCACACTAAAAAGCTCGTCAAACAGCACCTGGTTACTGGCCTGTGTTATCTTTCATGCCTAATTCCACTAATACTGTCAAAAACACACAAGGTTTACATATAAACACGGTTGCTTATGTCTAAAATGAAAGTAAACAGTTGAGAGAAAAACGGATGCGTGCCTGTATATTAGATGCATGCAGGTCTTATAGTGACAGCAGTCTATTAGTACTAAACATGCTGCCACTTAGGGGTGGGCGATATGACCAAAATCTTATTTCAATGGTATGATAAGTTTTATATCACGATAACGATATGTACCTCGATATAGCTATTTTTTTTGTTATTAAAATTAAGAAAAAGAAGCAAATTACAAGCACAACAGAACAAATAAATATGAAAAACTTTTAATTTATTCAGCTACAGTAGGCTAGGTTTATTTAACATGTAGTAAGAAATATTACAGAAATTGAATAAAGTGTATAAATAAAACACTGCATAGTCTTCACTGTATCAATCAAACATGATTAACATTAATAATGACAGACAGCAGCAGGTAAATAAGGCTGCTGTCTCTTTATGACCTACTGCACCGATCCAATATACTGAAACACATCCGGTTTTCACCCAACTGTTTTACAGTTATTTAAAATATAACCGACTGTGTTTACTTGAATACTCCACACGACGGGCATTATGACATAACTGTGTGCGTATTTGAATATTCAAGCACAATAAAACACGAAAGAAATCCGTTTTTGCGATTGCATGCTGTCGAGAGAGGGGCTTTCAGTGTGCGCGCTTCGGCTGTGTGTCAGTCAGCGTGAGCACCGCATTTCTTTTTCACTACTTATTGCACTTAATAACTCTACCAAGTGCGTCCCATTCTTTTCATTCATGCATGTTTCCTTATCACTCAAAAGGTGTATAACGTTTAAACAGTACTGTGTTACGTAGATATATTTGCATACCACGGAATACACAATATAGCAAAATCTCTAACAACAGACACTTTATTTCACGGTAATGATATATACCGTCATACCGCCCAGCCCTACTGCTGCTTGTCATTAAAGGGATAGTCACTCACTCTCATGTTGTCCCAAACCTGTATTAATTTCTTTCTTGTGCTGAACACAAAAGATATTTTGAAGAATGTGGGTAACCAAACAGTTGCTGGTCCCCACTGACTTTGATAGTAGGGGAAACAAATACATATATAAATAAATAAGTACTATGGAAGTCACTGGGGACTAGCTTTTGTTTGGTTACCAACATTCTTCAAAATAACTTTTATGTTCAACAGAAGAAAGAAACTCGTTCAGGTTTAAAACAACTTGAGATTGAGTAAATTACGAATTTTCATTTTTAGGTGAACTATCCCTTTATTGTTAATAAAACAACAAAACACAAAGAAAAATCACTCACTGCTCTTTATTAAAGAACTTTAATACAGTTGCTTTAATAAGAATCAATGTATACTTTATACAGTGTATATAGGGTTTTATTTTTATATTTGTTCATTCAATTTCTTGAATGCTACTGCTAAATACACCAACTGTACCTGAAAAACAAAGTACTGTTTGTTTTATTTGTATGTGTATTTGTAATATGCATCTTAGTTTTTTTTAATAACAAAGATCAAATAATGACAAAGATTTTTATTTTTGCCCACTTTGGCATACATATCTGCCATTCTTTTTTATTTTAGATTTTGTTACCTTGTAAGGCTTTGTTTTTAAAATAGGGAAATTAGTTTGGCTGTACTGCTCAGTCAACTTGCAAAATAGTAAAACCAACATGACAAAGAATTGTGATTAAAAATGTGAACTGTGATTCTCTTGAAAAAATCGTGGTATGATATTTTTGCCACCCCTAAATTAAAATGAATATATTCCTGTTAAAAGTGATTCCTTTTCAGCTCTGTTTGCACAGTCAACATAAAATCAAAATGGACCTCTATTACGTCCTCAGTACACATTCCTGGTTTTATTGTAATTGATACATAAGTGTGCATTACAACAAAAAAATTGTCTTTCATCCAAATGCAACAACTTGTAGGTATGAAACGTCCACTTTTCACAAACCAATCAACTCACGATGGAGGCACTCGAGTCCCATGCAGCTGCAACGTCAAAATCCTGAAGACTAATTCGCCATGGGTTCCCTCTGTTGTTTTTTTGTTTTTGTTTTTTTTTTCAATTTATGAGTCAAATAAGGTCTGTGGTAAACATAACTTGGCAATACTTGGACGTTTTGCTCTAATAATAGGCCTACACTAAGTGAACAAAATATGTCTGAATAGATCAGTTATAACCTCTAATTGAGGCAGTAAACCAATAAAACTATTCTGCCATCAGAAGAGATTTCAGGTAAACTGCTGCTCTTGCAGTAGAGCTGAACTAAAATTGCTGAATATTTTATTCAATACAGTCAACTTACCCAAAATAGCAAACACTCTCATAGCAAAGGTCGGCTATGTTAAATTCATAAGCCATGTCGGATGCCAGTGGGTGTAAACAGAGGAAATCCTCATCTAGCATAATGCTCCTGGCACATACGAGCAAGACTTGCAAAACCCTGGCAGCAAACTTGACACATGAGCACATGATGACATCCAAACAACAGCTTGTGATTAGACCAGAAGCATGAATGTCTGGTGGTCTCGCTCTCAGCTATGTTACCCATCACTCCCACTGCGCTTAGATGGGGGGAAAGTGACAGGGGAAATGGTAATCAAAGCAGTGACCTCTTGACAGGAAGTCTACACCTTCAGCATGAAGCTGCCAGCTATTCCCGACCAAAGATGTGTCCATGTAAATATGTGTATGTTTGTGTCAGATCTGATGTGTCTAGTATGTAGACATTATTTGCGACACACAAAATCAATCCACACAGAAACCAATGTACTACAAGAAAGGAATATTAATACAGCAGACAGAATGTCATAATCTGATGTGTCACTTTCTCATTTCTATGCTAAGCCAACCACGTTACAAGCATCTTGTGTGCGGATCTGCATAACGCATGAAACCAAACCATCATGGGGAGGAATACCTATAAGCGTACACGCACGTACACGCACATAGCTTGGATTTCCCCGTGTGTAGAGCGAACCCATTTGTGCAGACTGAGCGTACCGTTTAATCTGGGACATGAAAGGGCACAACACTGCCTTTGAAGTCTTTCATTTCCTTAATAGAGCTTTCTGAGAGACGAAGACCCACAGTGTTTATAAAAGAATACCCTTTTTCTCCCTATGCTTTTGTGATGGTGTGATGCCGGATGGTGGATCTAAAGACCTGAAAACATTAACCGCCTCCTCAAAGGAATGGTGGTGCTTGTGTCATTTGGATTTCTAACACCGGAAACAGTGGCTTAAGTTGTAGCTAAAAATAAAAATGCTTGCACTAATACTATTGCTTGCTTTTTAACATCTGAAAGTGTTTCTCAACTAGCAAATTAAGTTTCATTAAAGTCACCATGAAATCAAAAGGGAGCCCAAATACTTTCTAAAAAAACACTCGTGGTATTATTGTAAATGATTCATCAGTGTAAAAAATAATTTTTGTTCGTAATCTTCCATCATAACGTAAGAAGTTGTTTCATGTCTGAAACACACTTCCTTTTTGGCTAACATCACCATGCCCTCTTAATTGTCATAAAATTTAAAAATTTAATCTTAAAATAATAATAATTATATATATATATATATATATATATATATACATATATATATATACTGTATATTAC